CCATTTTTCATGACTTTTGTTGATAAACTGAACGGACTTTAGAGCAACTTGCAGACAAAAAATTCCAAAAAATTTTACTTGGAAAAACACTGAGAATAAGGTAAATTTAGAATCAGTAGCTCAAAATGAGATCTTGAATTAGTAAATTTAGATTTCAAATGGTTACGCTTATCAAATATACAAAAAATTGTTAGCAATTGAGAAACTTCAACTTACAAGGGAATGGTCAGAAGTCGAAGTGGCCAAACCAAAGAAGCTGTATACATTCGATGCAGTATAAAACGCTGACTTCGAATCTGTCTTCTTTATCTGCTTATCGCTTCTGTGGACGAAACTACAAGCGGTTTTATTGTGAAAAATCATACATAAAAACAGCGAAATTGAGCACATTGTTGCACTTTTAGCTCAGCTTCTGGCTTTAAAAATTTGAACTAAGCTAGCTGCATGTTTTGGCCCAGCATTAAGGCGATCGTGGCTCTGTGCGGCTAAATCTCAATTTCATGCATAATTTCTTAGCCAAGTAATGGTCTTTAATGGCTCATAACTTTGTCCAGAAAAGCGATAAGCAGGTAAAGAAGACAGATTTAGAGTCAGCGCTTCATGCTGCTTTTAAAGCTATGCAGCTTGTCTGGAATGGCCACTTCGATTTCTGACCATTCCCTTGTTAGATTTGATAGTCCTACTACTCGGCAAATTCCTCGCAATTTTTAGGGAATTTCGATGAGTTTTTGAGATTGTGCTTGCACAAAAAGGCCTTCTATTAAAAATTGAGATGTTGTATTACATCGACATTGAGTATCGTCTCAGATTTTTTGTGATACGTTTCAGTTTACTCAAGAATTGCAATTCGAAGAAGAGCCCGTAAACGAAAGCATTTAAATTCTGTATGTTGGGGCACAAGGACCCGCCTTCTAGTTGAACTGCGATGTGTAATATTATTCCATGCCATAATGGAAACGAACCAAGCATCAATTCAAAGAAATATTTTCAATCTTTCGGATGGTTTCCTATCCAGCTTAGTTGAGCGACGATCCACAACTTTGGTTCCCTTACAATAGATAAAATCCCGAATGAATGCGCTTTAGAATGCAGGTTACAAAACTGCCTCACTCAATTTTCGAGCCCTTTCCTAAGCGAAGTTATGAACGATTACTTTTTAAAGAATCTCTCCGGGAATTCTGCCAAGTTCTGGAACCTGGCCAAATCTCCTCCGCATTGCTCGCGCCTTTAATTACCTCCTGCGGACACAGGCGGCTAAGCTTTGGTTCCTCCTGCGCGTCCTCCTCTTTACCCTAGGAAATGCGGGAGATAATGATTTGGCAGGGCTGCTGCCAGGGTTCATGACCGACCTTGTTTGTGTTTAGTGAGTTTTTGAAACTTTGGTTTACAAATGAATAAGCGGGACCATAGAGTCGCAGGAGGGGGGGGGTATCCCCCCATGTCCCCACATCCTCACTGGTTTCACCCATCATGGTATCCCCCTATTTTTATAGAACAAGAGGTATGGCCCTCTTATCAAAGAATTTGTAAGGTATTTGCAATAAAACAATATCTTACGATATAACAAAAATAAACTTACCTATTTTATTTTCGGTTATTTATAAATAAGTTATTGATAAATCAATATATTAGGTTGATGCAAAAATAATGAGCGTTTTTATTTGCTTGCTTTAACAAAGCAACCAGACTCAACCCAACAAAGGGTAAGGGGTACTGTTCGATAGAGCAAAGCAAGCTCTACAAGATGGCACTCATGCCTTTGCGCCATGCTTGATCCGCGGAGAGTACGAACCCAAAATCTAAAGATTTCCAAATGCCCAAAAAATCGAAAAAAATCAGATCTTCGTCCAAATAATTTCTACGGACCTCCCACTCGCTCATATCAATACTATCGATATCTGATATCCATATGTGCAATTGCCGTATTTTTTCCTTGACTAGAAAACGAGAAAACGAAAATTCCCCTGATTTTCTCAAAGCAATGCTGAGCCGTTTTTGCATATGTAGTTCTATACTACAAGCCTAGGTAAGCATAACTGTAGATTTCCAGCCCATTCCGAGCGGTAGTTTTCGAAAAATAGCGAATTCGGATTTTTTCGTTTCAGTTTCAGTGCTAAAATCGACATTTCTCGAAAAGTACCGCTCGAAATAGGCTGAAAACTTACAATTATGCTTATCTAGGCTTGTAGTATAGAACTACATATGCAAAAACGGCTCAGCATTGCTTTGAGAAAATCAGGGGAATTTTCGTTTTCTCATTTTCTAGTCAAGGGAAAAATAAGGCAATTGCACATATGGATATCAGATATCGATAGTATTGATATGAGCGAGTGGGAGGTCCGTAGAAATTATTTGAACGAAGATCTGATTTTTTTTCGATTTTTTGGGCATTTGGAAATCTATAGATTTTGAGCTCGAACTCTCCGTGGATCGAGCATGGCGCAAATGCATGAGTGCCATCTTGTAGAGCTTGCTTTGCTCTATCGAACAGTACCCCTTACCCTTTGTTGGGTTGAGTCTGGTTGCTTTGTTAAAGCAAGCAAATAAAAACGCTCATTATTTTTGCATCAACCTAATATATTGATTTATCAATAACTTATTTATAAATAACCGAAAATAAAATAGGTAAGTTTATTTTTGTTATATCGTAAGATATTGTTTTATTGCAAATACCTTACAAATTCTTTGATAAGAGGGCCATACCTCTTGTTCTATAAAAATAGGGGGATACCATGATGGGTGAAACCAGTGAGGATGTGGGGACATGGGGGATACCCCCCCCCCCTCCTGCGACTCTATGGTCCCGTTTATTCATTTGTAAACCAAAGTTTCAAAAACTCATATAGGACTATAAAACTCATAATCGATATAGGCCTTTGCCGTATTTTTTTCTTTGTTAGAAATCAAGAAAACGGAAATTTTCGTGCGTTTGGCAAAGTGATGCTGTGCCGTTCCCACATGAGTAGTTGTATACTACAAAGCTGTAGAAGTACAAACGCAAATTTTTAGCTCTCTACAAGCTTTAGTTCTCGAGAAATTTGAATTTTAGCTTGGGCCACATGACTAGCGAAAACTGTATTCGAAATTTTTCGAGAACTAAAGCTTGTAGAGAGCTGGGAACTCACGTTTATACTTCTACAGGTTTGTAGTATACAACTACTTATGTGGGAACGGCACAGCATCACTTTGGCAAACGTACGAAAATTTCCGTTTATTGAATTCTAACTTAGAAAAAATACGGCAAAGGCGTGTATAGATGTCTTATGTGAATAGTGCTTACGTGAGCAAGTTAGAATTTTTGTAGGTTTTTTATGAACTGAGTTACGATTTTTCTCAATTTTTCGGACAGCTGAATCTTTTTAGTTTTTGGCACGAAACTCGTGGTGGATCAGAGTTGTTGCTAAAGCAAGATTGTCACCTTATAGAGATTGCTTTGCTCTATCGAATGGTATTTTGCAACCTACTTAGAAATGAGAAGTGCATGACTTATTGCGGTTGGAATTCAAAACCTGCATTAATTCTGTTACAACCTAATATTTGATAAATAAATTTTGATTATGATATTTAGACAAAATAACATCAATTTAGATATAGCATTTTTTGTACACATATAATGATAAAACTATTTGATAATATTGATATTATTAGTTTATGTTTAATGTTATTAATATTGTAAATTAGTGATTGAATTAATTTTTGTATAAACTAATGATATATTTTATGATTGAAAAGGTAAATATAATAAAAAAGAAAAAAGGAAAACACATTGGTGTTTTTAGTGTATGCGTAGGGTTAACATGTTGTAACTGCAGTTGTTTATTTGCCGCTTATTTTGTTAGGTAACTTTTGGAATTATGAAGATTATTGAATAGTTGAGTGATAGGTAGGACAATAGTGAAATGTTATAGTAATGTTGACAGCACAAACATTGATGGAAATAGTTGATGGTGAGGAAAAGGATGGAACCGTTGTAATGACCGTACGATCGTTGGTCGGAAGTTTAGAAAAAGGAGAAGTATGAGTTGTAAATGAGCTGAGAAGAGAAACTGTCAGTTTGACAGTACGACCCAATTGGTCGAAAATAAGATAAAGAAAGCTGTCCGTTTGACAGCTCGACCCAGACCCAGTAGTGTCTCCACAACGTAAGAAGAAACCCTAATGCTTCATTGCTGCCGTCGATAAGTTACTGGTCAGTTGTAGTGAACCAGATCGAAACACTAATTTGGGAAGATGCGGAAAAGCAACTGACAGTCCTGCTACATTTCTGCAGGAAAGGCTATCAATCAATAAGATCCGCATATAGGAGGGCCGTCAAAATGACCGTCCCAGACGTTGACATGGAACACGTGCCTGAGCAACTACGGAGCCTACCCGACGGAAGTGCCTTTCTAAAGCTATAGGAACCCAACATGCATATCTACATGTCAGACGAGATAGTTCAGCGAGCAAAGGATAGCGGACTTTATGCCTTAATAGGGGATGGCGTACATCAACTCAATCCACGTAATAAACGCTGATCTCATGCGCGTGTCGAAAAAGACCAAGTGTACACTATTCACGGCGTCTGTAGAGATGGGAGTCCCGATTATGTTCGTCATCACCCGACACAAAAGGGAGGAAGATTACATTGTTATCTTCGAGAATCTGAAAGAGGCGCTTCTGCGAGCCGTCGAATGCTGGGGAACTTTTACAATTCAGACTTATTGTGGATTTTGAAATGGCCGCGGCTCGTAAGGTTTTCCCCCGATTTTCTATTCAAGGCTATTCTTGGCATCTATCTCAATCATGGGCCAGGAAACGCAACAGCCTGGGCTTACTGCAATTCTTGAAAGGGGATAATCGGAATCGCGGGTTAATCCAATGGTGGCGGACCTTGAAGGGTCTACCTTTCCTCCCGAGAAATTGCTTCCACCTAGTAAATGCACTGCGCACACACCGGTAGAGGAGGCTCATCCCGCTTTTCGAGCTTGCCTGAACTTCCTCACGTACTTGCGCGAAACATGGCTTACGGGACCATTTTCATCCATGTGGTGCAAATACATGGTGAGGAAAGGATCACCAATGCGGCAGAGAATTATCATGGAAGGTTACGGAAAATTCTCTTGAAGAAGCACCCACCCTTAGCATCCCTATTGCTTGTGTTCAGAAGCGTTACTTCAGTTGCAAAAGCAAAGCTAGCCGGGATGGAAAGGGTGAGTTGCCTATTAGCTACTCTGCCTACATGACGAACATCATTTTTCAGTACCCTCGCGAAGGGAGAACACTGAGGAAGCGCGATAGAATCCGCCATGAAAAAGTGGATCGTGCTATGAACACTTTCGAGGAACTTCGAGCCAGTCCTTACCTAACTACCGTCCAAGTTGGACGTTATCTGTGAAATATGTCGAAATAAACATCAGATAAAGCCATCTAAAGCTCTATGTATGTACCTATATCTTAACAGATCAAATTGAGTGTATACAATGAATTTCGAGACTCTAGACTCGTGTTTATTTAGATCTATCCATTTCTTCAATTTTTTTCGATCGATCCCCTCCTCCCCCTTCCCCTACCTCCCCTTATTCTCTCCCCCTCCTCCCTCTACTTCCTCTTCCCTGCGCTGCGCTTCAGAATATTCATTATCTTCGAAAATCAATACACAATGTCTTCTTCTTGCTTTATCTAACGAATATCTTCTTTTATCACTTCGATCACGTCCTGAGGGCACATTGCGAGGCGCGACGATGGCTTTGCACATGTAAAGGTCAGCGTTCAGCCTATCGATCGCGATTCGCAACATCTGTACAATAAAAAAGTGTAGTAGTCAAATGAGGGATAGAAACCAAAATACTCTCAAATGATGGGATGAAAACAGAGGGGGACCAAATCTTATCTAATCAAAACACCACGAGAAGTTGACATCAGAAAAAGACTGAAAAAAAACTAATGAGTGATCATAAATATTCGAAGATAAACTGTTTTCAAACAATTTCTATGAAGAATGCAAAGCAACGGTTACAAAAAAAAGACAGAAATAAGATGGAAACTGCTGAGACTGATGTAATACCACCACCGGATCATCTTTTATATGTTTGCGAATTGATTTCGCGCATTCATCTCCTTTTTTGATCTCCTTTTTCCTTTACCCCCACTTTCCTTACTACTTTCACAGAAAGATTTCATGGGACATTGCATCGAGCCTGCGGAGCTGCGTATAACGCTAGAATGTGGGCGGAGCAAAGGGGCGTGGCCTAGTCCGCAACGCCAGCTCTCCTCCAGGCGAATTTAGAGGCGACGCAACGCAATTGCGCCGCAAGGTATACCGAAGGGAGATGCGGTACACCTTTTCCATAACCCTTGTCCCCCGTATGCAACGTTTTTCTATTGCCTCTTTTTTTTTCATGTGAGCACTTCACACAGTTCAAGAAAAAAATGTGATAATCGAATCCACCGATAAACTCAGCAATTTTAAAAAGTAAACTTTGTAGAATTCCAATGAACAGATGTTTCTGGCAGTTAGATGCTCGAAATAATCCTTTGTTCCTGATTGTGCTTCAAATACATTTTTGACAATGAGAAGTGGAATCGATTGGAAGAAGAGCCTTCACGAAAAATTATCATCAAAAATCGGAACTTTATAGTCTTGTGACCCATAATTTGTGGGAAGGCACTAGCTCTGTTCCATTCAATGAAAGTTTTGCATCACAGAGCGATTTCGAAGCCAATTTCGATCGAGCGTCGACAGAATGAAACAGGAAAAGCATCAAACTCTACTGGGAGTAATTCTTACAATATCTTTTGCTTTTTAGTGAGCTACAAAAAACCATAGCTTTAATCGGCCAAATTGATCACATTTTGCTGCTAGAAAAGAGAATGAATATGAAACAATTTATGATCCTCCAGAGAGGCACTACAGAGAACATTTACATGATGAAATAAGTACTTCAATGAAATTTTCATAAGGATGCGAAATCTTCCGAAAAAAAAATGAATGCGCTTAATATAATGTTCCATAAATCTGCTGGCCTCAGCAATGACCTAAGTAATACCCTTAATACTCGAAGATAATGTAGTTCACAATCCCTGTGGCAATATTAACGCGTCTTTGACTTCACATCTCAAAACGAGGCCGACAACAATATGTAAAAAAAAATATTCCTTCAACTTATTTGCCAAGAACATCTCCGAAAGTGCGCTTTGCTTCATAAAAATTATAAAATTTTGGTTCATTGGAAATTCTACAAAGCTCACTTTTTTGAAAATCCCCCTGACATTATCGATTAGATCAGATATTACAATTTTTTTGCCTCTGTGAAGTGCTCATAAAAGCTTTACTCTGTTTTTAACTTTCATCACCGAATATCTGTGATTCTAGAATTATTTTAAAAAAGGAGCAATAGAAAAACGTTGCACACAAACTTGCGCTTTCATTCGCGCTTTTTTCTTGTGATTTCTTCACACTCTTTCTTTTTTATGGGTCGCAAGTGCCAGCGCTTTCGCAAGCTGAGTGAGCTGTTTCAGCAGCTGGGATTCGGTGTATCGTTAGGTACCTGCTATTAAGGCAACCAAGAGGCGCGGCTTAGTGCATAAAATCAATGGCTGGGTACCTAACGCCCGCACCTTGGCTGGGTACCTAATGCCACGCACCCGTGAGGGAGAGTATATGCGCGAGAAAGTGGGAAAATCTCAGAATTGTTTGAACCGAGATACAGGATTTTTGTTTTTTCGGAAATTCGGTTTTTTTAGACTGGATGCGGGTCAAGTTTGGGGCAAAATTTCAAGCGCCTCTTGTAGAGCTCGCTTTGATCTGTCGAATAGTACCCCTGCATCCTACCAGGGATACAGGAAGAACTAATTTATGTCGGTGAAAAGTCAGTGTAATGAAAAAACTTGTGAGACAACCTAATATTAGGTTGGTGCAAAAGTTCTTTCGCACCAAATTCAAAAATTCATAACTTGTTAAATTCTCAACGAATCTGCAAGGTCTAAATTTTATATAAGAGAAGAATTCATACACTTTGCAAATGTATCCGAGCTGTTCGTTAGCGTATACAAATGAAGGAGAAAGAAGCGCAAAACCAAAATCACTCAATATCCGAATTTTTCGTGTAGGGTCATAAAAAATCGGAAACTTATAACAAAATTCGGAGCAGTCGGTATTGTAGGTTATTTCGCCAGCTCTCTCTAACTGTGCAAAGCGTGCGTCGATCGAGCGTCTCTATGAAAAGTTATGATTTTCGAGCAAGCAATACAAAAGAGCGAATTTGATTTATTTTGGCATTTTTCAGGAAAATCATAACTTTTCATAGATACGCTCAATCGGTGTCCCCAAAAGTGTTCCCAGGCAATGCACCAAAATTCGACACAGCCTTATAATGTAGCAATGAGAGCGAGCTGTCCTTTGCTAAAAATGGGACTAAGTGTAACCCTCACAGTGTTAAGTATGAAAAATCATTTCATCAACATTGCGGTGTGAAAAGCTTGACTGCACTTTTCAACACTGTGACAAAGCAGAGAGTACTTCATTATTAACGCGTAGTTTCATTGTCAGCGGTTTACCCTCCAGTTTTGATTGAAAGCTGTAAGGTACAAAATCTAAGTTTCTCACTCAGGTATCCAAATTTTTTCGCATCTCAGCTTCATGATTATTTAGAATTCCGGCTAATCCAAAGGCAGCGTCCGGGCAAACTTGGGCACATGGAATCGCACCTGAAGACTGTTTTGGGGGGGGGGGGGGAAAGAGGTGGCTATTAAGACTGCTCAAGCGGCAGTGTATATGCATATAGATGCACTGATGTAGGTGCATTCGCGGCTGAGACATTTGCCCCTGAACCAGACCCGCTGCCATATTTGGCAATGGATTGCATAGGGTTGCGCGCACGTGATGCACCCCTGCACTAAGTCCTGCAAGCCAAGGCAACTCGTTCGCTAACTACTGTACTGGGGACAGGTGCCTGGACGCTGCCTTCGAAAAGAGACATCTTTCCTAGTCATTAATCTTCAAAGATTCAGAAGTCCTGCTTCTACAAAGCTAGGTCCTTGCTAGGAAACCGTAGACTGTGGATAAACCGCTGACCCACCAGATGCACAAAGTGGGCAGGTCGATATTCCTCTGATAAGTATAACAGGGGAAGTACTTTTGGCGACTCAGGCTTTTCAACATGAGATCTATAAGGGAACTTATGTTCGCAGACTGCAAAATATGCTCTCAAAAGAGTTACAAAGGACTTTGCTCTAAAAAATGGCGAAGATTGCTTTTGGTATGGAAATCAACAAGCGTCAAAATATATTATTCTTTCAACATCTTTTATTTTGGACTATGCGTGTTTAGTAACGCCATCGTTACGACACATCGGTGGAAGTATTGTCTTGAATGTTTTGAATACAGAAATGACTAGTTAGAGAGAAAGCAAATTTATGGCCTCAAGGCTTGGCAGACTAACCCGCTCACCTCACACTAGACAACACTTTTTGCACATTTGACACCCATGCTCAAGTCAATCCTTTCCTCGCCACCTTTGAAGGCGGTATGACTTTCTGCGAGTATCATTTGCAGATGTATTAATTAAGATTTATTGGTATGCCAAAACGAGCATTTCCATATACTAAACTGTTTAAGCTCCGTCCAATTATTTGCGTTGTGTTTGAAGCAGCCGTTCAAGAAAATTTCTTCTCGGTGTGCGATACTGTTTGTAACATCAGAAAGCCCTTTCCTCCCTTTTTTTTAGTACGATATCATGTTTTAGGAGCGATTTGAGTTTCTAACAAGATGCGTATAATCGTCCCGTGAATCGCTCTAACTTTTATGTTGAATATAATCCAAAACATGAGTGTTGGAGGTCAAAAACAAGTAAAAATGCAATCAACGGCGTTTTCGTGAATGTTTCAACCAGGTTTTACCAGCGCCTTTGAACTTAGCAAGAGTTAGCTTCAAATCTTAGTAAGCCAGAGCACTTTGTGATCTTTAACATGTTGACGACAGTGCCGCGCAATGGTGCACGGCTGCCTTAATTTTGATATTATCTGTCCAATCCTCTCAATTTTTATTCACATAATCAACATAGGCTCAGATGTAGTTCATGTATTAGCTCCGCCCCTTTTGGCAAACTACGTCCACTTCTATGCCCCTCCCAACCCTTTTTTTTCATGAAAAGCATGGAGGAGGCCGTAGATGAACGCCAGGTCCCGCGCATCGTCAGACAAACTCGCCCGCTAAGTGGCAAGTTTCGCCAATTTTTGAAAAGTGGCGGAATTCGCATAAATTCCTGAAATTTGGGCAGTTTTCGACATTTTTGGCCGAATGGGCGGAGCTTGCCACATGGGGGTGTGGTTTGCACATTCAAAATTTTGTGCATAGATGCATGCATGCTATACACGTACGGCGCTTAGGGATGCACG